TGGAAAGGATGGCATGCCGGAGACCGAGCCACACAGGTGATGAGACAATCAACTGTGGTTATGTAATGAGGCTTCAATACAATTGTGGACAATGAAGAGCCAGTGAGTTTCCTGGGTTGGCAACACTCTAAGCTCATATTGCCATGTGCCAGACTGGGGCACAGTTCCAACCCAACATTCGGTGTCACTTCTAATTTGTTCCCTTTGCTGTAATAAACATGACTGTAACTAAAATAGGTTTTAGGGAGTTTTCTGAGTCTTTTTAGCTAATTAGTGAACTTGACAATGGCTTTGGGACCCAAATTGTAGTCGGTGTCAGTAGAGTTGGACAGACCTGGTAGTCTTAGAGAACTGTGTCCTTAACCTTGAGCTTGGCTAATCCTGGGTAGGAAGAAATCAGTTATCCAGTAAGAGGTGCTCAACGAAGTGAGTCCTATGCTCGTGAAGAAGAGCTGCCATAAAGAGAAAGCGGGAAGGACACTGTAGTCTTAGGAGACAAAGTACAAAGAAACTGCAGGATGGTGTTGATGACAATCCGGGGACAGAGGGGAGATTGATTCCCATGATTCCAAGCTGGGTGACAGTGAAGGTCGTATGACTGATGTTACTATCACTCCAAGGCTCATAAGGAAAGAGTTAAGAGGACCTGGCTTGACACAGAGTCTCGTGTGCCTGAGGAACGGCCTGCAGAAAAGATGAGCACCACACACACGACCAATGGCCAGGCTGCTGTGTATGGTGCTCATCTGTTCTTTTTTTTTTTTTTTTGAGACGGAGTCTCGCTCTGTCGCCCAGGCTGGAGTGCAGTGGCGCAATCTCAGCTCACTGCAAGCTCTGCCTCCCAGGTTCACGCCATTCTCCTGCCTCAGCCTCCCAAGTAGCTGGGACTACAGGCGCCCGCCACCATGCCCAGCTAATGTTTTGCATTTTTAGTCGAGACGTGGTTTCACCATGTTAGCCAGGATGGTCTCAATCTCCTCACCTCGTGATCCGCCCGCCTTGGCCTCCCAGAGTGCTGGGATTACAGGCGTGAGCCACTGCACCTGGCCTGTGCTCATCTTTTCACCTCAGCCCCCCAAAGCCTGTAATCCCAGTGCTTTGGGAGGCTGAGGTGAGTAGATTACTTGAGCCCAGAAGTTCAACACCACTCTGAGAAACACAGCAAGCTCCCATCTCTAAAAAAATTATTTAAAAACAAAACCAAAAACACAGTAGACAGGCATGGTAGTGTAAGCCTGTGTAGTCCCAGCTGCTCTAGAGGCTGAGCGGGGAGGATTGCTTGAGCCCCAGAATTCAAGACTGCGGCAAACTATGACTGTGCCACTGTACTATAGCTTGGGCAACAGAGCAACACCTTGTCTCTTAAAAACAAACAAGAAAACTCCAAATATACATGATCAAGATGAAGAAAATTACATAATCTTATTTGAAGACAATAAAGACGATCTACATCAATGAAGAATAATATGAACTGAACTGACAATTTGACCCAAATTATATAAATTCAATATAAATGCCTGTAAAATACCAACTATACTTAATACAGAACTTGATGGTCTGTTAAGCAAATGAAGCTAGAAAAATTGGGTAGCCACATGGAGAAGGAAAATAACTGCATTGCTATCACACTATATATTCCAAATCAACCTCACTGAAAAAAATGTCAAATGCCAAGTTTTAAAACTTTTAGAATAAAATATATTTTTAATATGGAGGTAAACCAACATTTTTTATACAAGACAAAAAATCATTAATTATATAAGAAAAGTTGCAAGTTAGACTACAATAAATTAAGATGTTTTGGTGAAAGATACTTTAAAGAGAGTAAGAGGACAAAATTAAAACCTAGAATATGTTTTTCAGCATATATAAGTAATAAAAGGTAAGCATAAGAAATGTACAAAGAACCCCTACCAAGCAAACAGAGAAAGGAAAACAGGTTAATGGAAATAGGCATTTATCATAAAATAAAAAATGATTTGTATTTTCACAGAAGAAAATATAAATCAACCAAAAATTATGGTAAGTTGCTAAAACATTACAGCAGTGAAAGAAAGGGAAATCAAGAGCACATGCGACTACTCTGTGTCCATTTGATGAGCAAACATTGAGAAGCCTTATAATGGAAAGGATATGGATCAGTGGAACCTCTCACTTTTCTGGTTAAGTGCAAATTGGCATAGGCGCTTTAAAAAACAAAAGGAATGATCTTGCAAACTTGAGCATTTGCATAGCCTACAAACCAATAATTTCACTCCAAGAATTATCAAAAAATGCTCGTCCACAAGTGGAAAACAAACTATATATACGAATGTCCACAGCATCACTGTTTTTGTGAATGAAACGTAGACAATCATTATTATTTTTTGCCTCTGCTTCATGGTCTCTCATGAATTATTTTTATTTATTTATTTTTTTGACACAGGAGCTCACCTCATCCAGGCTGGAGTGCAGTGGCCTGAATAAGATCACTTCAGCCTTGACTTCCTGGGCTCAAGAGATCCTTCCACCTCAGCCTCCAGAATAGCTGGGACCACAGGCGTGAGCCACCATGCCCAGCTAATTTTTTTAATTTTGCAGAGACGGGTTGTCGCCACGTTTCCCAGGCTGGTGTTAAACTCCTGAGCTCAAGTAATCCTCCCACCTCAGCCTCCCAAAGTGCTGGGATTATAGGCATGAACTACGGTGCCAGCCAAATCTAGACAATTAAATGCTCACATACTAAACAAATGTATCAATTAATATACAAATGTATCATAAGCCACAAGCATTTATTTTCTTCAAGTGTAAGAAACTTGAGGCCGGGCACAGTGGCTCACGCCTGTAATCTCAGTACTTTGGGAGGTCAAGGCAGGTGGATCACCTGAGGTCAGGAGACCAGCCTGGCCAACATGGTGAAACCCCATTTCTATTAAAAATACAAAAAATTAGCTGAGTGTGGTGGCACGCGCCTAGAATCCCAGCTACTCGGGAGGCTGAGGCAGGAGAATCGCTTGAACCCGTGAGGCAGAGGTTGCAGTGAGCCAAGATTGCGTCACTGTACTCCAGCCTTGGCAACAACAGCGAAACTCCATCTCAAAAAACAAAACAAACCAACCAAACAAAAAAACACAAAAATTAGCCGGGTGTAATGGCGTGTACCTGTAATCCCAGCTACTTGGGAGGCTGAGGCACAGAGACTGCAGTGAACCAAGACAGCACCACTGCACTCCAGCCTGGGCTATACAGTCAGACTCTATCTAAACAAAAAGAAAAGCAAAAAGAAAAAACAAGCATATTTTTATGTTGAGTAGAGAAGGATGAAATCACAAAACAAGCAGAATATAAATGAAGAAAGGACGTCCATGAAAGGAAGCGTCATCTAGACCCTGGTATAGGAACTGGCCATGACTGGGGCAAGACCTCTTTCAGTAAGGAAAAGAGAAGTTGAGATAAACATTTAAGGGCTGCTGATCAAGCAATACAGGACGGTGGACTTTCTTTTCAACATGAAAGCCTGCTGACACATCAGCACTCACATGCTGAGACATCTGTGCCTGGAGATGAAAACTGTCTGGTTGGCTGGATGCAGGGACTCACGGAGGTGGAGGGATTGACCTGTCTGAGGTTGGGGCCAGTCCCCTAATCTGCCTGGATGGCAGAGCCATTCACAGAAACTTGGGAGGTGGCAGGAGCGAGCAAGATCATGGGTTCCTTGTTACGCATGTTGAGTTTTGTGCTTTTGAGATTTTCAAGTGGAGAGTGGCACTGAAGAGGGGACGATCTGGAAGAGACTCTGAAGGGCTGAACAGGGACTGCACAGACACTCAGGGTTGGATGAGCAGCTCAAGGAACCCATGCGGGCAGAGGCCAAGGCTCTGCAGTGGCACCAATCCACACACCTGACAGATGGCCTCAGTGTCCTCAGCAGCCTGAGTGTGGGACAGAGAAGGTCAAATGTCACCCTGAGGATTTTGGAAAACAGGAGATATAGGAAGACATGGGCGAAATACTGCTTCTTAGTGTCTGACTGACACTAAGGGAATGGGTGGAAGGAGAAGGTGGGAGAGGCTGATAGGCAGAATATAACTGGAAAGAGAAATTGGGAGAGTAAGAAAGGCCCTATTCCCCAGAGTTCAGAAGGAAATGTAACAGAGCATCACTCTTTAAGGTTAATAATAACATTCTGATGAGTCACTTACTATGGCTCAGAAACTATTCGGTTTTATGCATTACTGTATCACATGATAACATCTCCAAACTACTCAATGACATAAAAATGATTTCTAGTAACACTTTTCAGGAACAGACTCAATGTAGTGGACTGAGAGTAGGTGTTCACCAAACCTTCTGCTCTTCTCCGTGGGCAAGTGGCTCAGCCACATTTCCCAGACCCACGGACCTAAGACTAATGCCTAGTTCCTGTGGGTGGAATGTGACAGGAGCTGGTATTTCTGGAAGTGGGTGTAACTTCCCTTATTCCCTCAATTCTCTGCCAGCTCGAGGATGTTAGGATAATCTTAATGCAACAGGCTGATGACAGAAGGAAGCTGGGTCCTGAATAACTGTGTGGTACAGAGCTCCCCACTGACCCACGCAGACCCTGGTATGAGTAAGAGTTATCACATGTGAACCACTGAAATGTTAGAGTCTGTCTGATACAGCAGCTACTGTTAACTTAGCTGAAGTTATATATAAAGACAGGAGATCTTGACCACATAGCAGGTGACTGGTAAGCCACAACTCAGGCCCACACAGTTGGAACCCCTGGACACATCTTAGTTCATAAATCTCACTCCTTCCCAGGAATGGTGACACTGTGACGGGGTTGGGAGGACAGAGAAACCACAGGTCAAAGGGCTCCATGGCTCTTAAATGGAACACTCTACTGTGATACAGTTATATGGAGTTATATATAGAGAGGCCACAATGAGAAGCTTCCCAAGGGATTCCAGGGCCAGTGGTCTCCATCCAGTCTCAAGCCAACAGGGACTCCGACCTCCCCAGATCTTGGCTCCTACCTGGACAGGTGTCTTGGGAGAGGTCTTCCTTCCTGGTCCATGGCTCCTGCCCATGTTCTAGGTGGTAGATCAGCTCAGGTCTGGGAACAGGACACCCTGTTTATGGAGAAAGAAAGTGGACACATGGATGTTGGTGAAAAGAAATAAAGACCTTCAATCCAGTCTGGGACTTCAGGATACGGACCAGACCTTGGAATGAAGCCGCTCCTGTGCACGGGAATGAAAAGCTGGCATGTGACCTGGAAACCAAGAGCAGGTCCTGTCATGCTGCCGCAGAATCTCTACTCCTAATAGTAAGTCAAAAACTAGTACTTATAGGATATAAACACATCCAAGGGACTATGCCAAGCATTTAAATGCATTATGTCATTTCAAAAGTGAACAATATTTAGGGAATACCTTAGAGAAAAACTGAGGTATTTAAATATTAAATACTGACTCTTTTCATTCGAAACAAGGTATGTGATTTCAGTGATCTAAGTCTTTTTTTTTTTTTTTTTTTGGCATCCTAAGAAATGTTTTATAACGCTCTTCCTCTAGACCCAAGACAAAATGAGGTTTCTAGCTGAGGATTTTCTCACAGCATTCCCAGGAAGTCCACATCGTGATCAACACCATTTTATTGAGAAAGAAACCCAGGCTCACAACGCTGCCCAGAACGTCCCGGGTCCAGGCATGCCAACGACAGTGATTGTGATGAGGATGACAGTAACAGTACTGATGGCAACAGGATGGCAATGGCTCCCTGCACACAGCTTGGTCTCCCAGGTGTTGTTTCGAGCCCTTTTCACGTAATAACTGTATTAGTCTGTTCTCACGCTGCTAATAAAGACATATCCGAAACTGGGTAATTTATAAAGAAAAAGAAGTTTAAGGGACTCAGTTTCACAAGGCTAGGGAGGCCTCACAATCATGACACAAGGTGGAGAAAGGCATGTCTTACATGGCAGCAGGCAAGAGAGCATGTGTAAGGGAACTCCCTTTATAAAACCATCAGATCTCACGAGACTTATCTGCTATCACGACAACAGCACGGGAAAAACCCGCCCCCATGATTCAATTACCCCCCACGACACATGGGGATTATAATAATTCAAGGTGAGATATGGGTGGGGACACAGAGCCAAACCCTATCAATAACTCTTTACCCCGGTAACAACCCTGGGATGCAGATGTGGTAAGTCCTCATCTCACCAATGAGAACGCTGAGGCACAGACAGGGTCAGTCATTTCACTAGGCCACACAGTTTTTAAAGAGCAGAGCTGGGGCTGGACACCAGGGTCCTGGCTCCCCTTCCAAACACTACACTAAGGAAGAAACTACTAGCACCACAGAGTGGGTGGTGGGTGGTGATGACAACGCAGAGATGTGAGCTGGAGGAGCCATCCTCAGGGACCAGCAGGCAGGGGGAGGGGCAGGTTCAGTGATTCCAGACTTATGAAGCTGTCCTTTGAGGGTTGTGTTTTCTTTCTTTTTTTTTTTTTTAAAGTAGAAGTCCTCTTTTTATGAAACGTTGGTGAGAGTAGATACTATTTGATGTTTCTGTAAATGTCCTTATATAACTCTGTCACAGCAGGACGTTCAGTTTTTTAAATTTTTAGTGGTTCATGAAATACATTTGACTATATGTGGAGAAACAAGGAACGTAATGAATCTGGTTGGTTGCTCCTAAGTTCACTGGACAAAGTAATGAAAGAAAATGATAGGCCGGGCGCGGTGGCTCAAGCCTGTAATCCCAGCACTTTGGGAGGCCGAGGCGGGTGGATCACGAGGTCAGGAGATCGAGACTATCCTGGCTAACATGGTGAAACCCCGTCTCTACTAAAAATACAGAAAACTAGCCGGGCGTGGTGGCGGGCACCTGTAGTCCCAGCTACTCGGGAGGCTGAGGCGGGAGAATGGTGTGAACCCAGGAGGCGGAGCTTGCAGTGAGCCGAGATCACGCCACTGCACTCCAGCCTGGGAAACACAGCGAGACTCCGTCTCAAAAAAAAAAAAAAAAAAAAAAAGAAAGAAAATAGAAAATGATAAACTCAGGGATTCTAACTCCTGGCTTCAGAAGCAGATACTAAGTCTCAAATCTGCTAAGATTGCCCTGAGTCTTATCTCCTGTAGAGAAACAGCTGAAATTGTGAGAAGGCAGACATAAGCTCGTCATGTGAGTGGCTGACCTGCAACAAAAGGTGCATGCACAGCCTCACCAGGTGTCTACCGTTAAAGTGAGGGCACTGACAGGAAAAGAATGGGACCCTGAAACTCGGAATAGGGATGTGTGGGAGGACCCTGATGAAGCTGGGGACGCTGAGCTTGTAAACTCTTTTTGAAACTTTTTTGCCAGAAGAAACAGCCTCCCCATCCCCAGCAGTGGCAACATCCCCTCCCTGGCCCATGCTGCCATCAGCCTTTCCACCTTTGTCTGAGGAGATCAACCCTGCGCTGCCTGAGGCAACAGTCGTGGCCTCCCCTGAGGCAGTTGCCAGGCAAGATAACGTTGATTCTCCTCTGGCACCCCCAACATCTTTGTTTGCTTCTGGACCTATAACTAAAGTCCTGGTGGGCCCCCAGAGGTGAGGTTCAGAGTGTGACCCACGGGGAGGTGATCCTGGTGGGCCCCCAGAGGTGAGGTTCAGAGTGTGGACCACGGGGAGGTGATCCTGGTGGGCCCCCAGAGGTGAGGTTCAGAGTGTGACCCACGGGGAGGTGAGCTGCACTCGAAAGGAATTGAGTTTTCTAGTTTACAGAAGCAAGAATCTGGAGAACAGGCATGGGAATGGATATTAAGGGTGTGGGATAATGCCACAACGAAGGAACATACAGATGGATCAGGCTGAATTTATTGACTTGGGCCCACTAAGTAGGGATCCTGCATTTAATGTTGCAGCTTGGAGAGCGAAAAAAGGTTGTAATAGCTTATTTGCTCGGCTAGCGGAAATATGGATTAAAAGATGGCCCATCATGAGCGAGCTGGGAATGCTTGATCTCCCTTGGTCTAACGTAGAGGAAGGGATCCAAAGGCTCAGGGAGACTGGGATGGTGGAGGGGATTAGTCACTTTAGACCTACTCATCCCAGCTGGGAGGGTCCAGAGGACATATCCTTGACCATTGCCTTGGGAAACAGATTTGCGAGGGCAGCACTTGCATCTTTGAAGAGCCCTGTAATTGCCAGATCTAGCAGTGGGAACTGCAGTCACTCACCTACAAAAATTTAGATACATTGAGAATAACTGGATCCCCAGGTGGCAGGGGCCAAGTGGTGGCACTCAACCATCAAAGGCAAGGTAGGCATAGCTATCATAATGGACAGCAGAGACAAAGCAGCAATCAGAACAGTCTGACGTATGTAGATCTCTGCCATTGGCTAATTAATCACCGTGTTCTTAGAAGTGAAACTGACAGGAAGCCTACTGCAATTCTACTTAATTTATATAAGCCGAAAACTTCCAGGTCGAACGGACAAAAGACTAATTTGAATTACAAAAGCAGAGAATCGTGGCCCCTCCTCTATCAATTTCCAGACTTGGGCCAGTTTACAGACCCAGAACCCCTTGAATGAAGGGGAGGTCAGGTCCCTTGAGGAAGGACCCCACTACACTACTGACAATTTATGCAGGTAATTTTTCTCCCATCCTTCCCTAAGGTCCCTAAGGAGACCTCTGGTTTTTTTTTTTTTTTTTTTTTTTTGAGACAGAGTCTCGCTCTGTTGCTCAGGCTGGAGTGCAGTGCCGCGATCTCAGCTCACTGCAAGCTCCACCTCCTGAGTTCACACCATTCTCCTGCCTCAACCTCCTGAGTAGCTGGGACTACAGGCGCCTGCCACCACGCCCAGCTCATTTTTTTGTGTTTTTAGTAGAGACGGGTTTCACTGTGTTAGCCAGGATGGACTCCATCTTCTGATCTTGTGATCCACCTGCCTCAGCCTCCCAAAGTGCTGGAATTACAGGCGTGAGCCACCGTGCCCGCCAGAGACCTCTGGCTTTTTACCAGGGTAACTGTGCACTGGGGAAAGGGGAATGATCAGACATTTCAGGGACTACTGGACACTGGCTCTGAGCTGACGCTGATTCCAGGGACCTAACACGTCACTGTGGTCCTCCAGTTAAAGTAGGGGCTTTTGGAGGTCAGGAGTTTTAGCTCAGGCCCGACTTACAGTGGGTCCAGTGGGTCCCCAGACTGAACCTGTGGTCATTTTCCCACTGCCAGAAGGTCTAATAGGCACAGACACGCTTAGGAGCTGGCAGAACCCCCACACAGGCTCCCTGACTGGTAGGGTGAAGGCTACCATGGTGGGAAAGGGCAAATGGAAGCCATTAGAGCCGCCTCTACCTAGAAAAATAGTAAATAAAAAATAATGTTACATCCTTGGAGGGACTGTGGAGATTAGTGCCAACATTGAGGACTCGAAAGACACAGGGGTGGTGATTCCTGTCACATCCCCATTCAACTCTCCCATTTGGCCTGAGCAGAAGACAGATGGATCTTAGAGAATGACCATGAATTATAGAAAGCTTACCCAAGTGGTGGCTCCAATTGCAGCTGCTGCACCAGATGTGGCTTCATTGCTTGAGTAAATTAACCATCTCCTGGTACCTGGTGTGCAGCCACTGACTTGGCAAATGCCTTTTTCTCCATTCCTGTCTATAAGGCCCACCAGAAGCAATTTGCCTTCAGCTGGCAAGGCCAGCAATATACCTTCACGGTCCTACCCCAGGGGCCTATCACTCTCTGGCTTTGTGTCCTGATCTTATTCAGAGAGACCTTGATCGCTTTTTGCTTCCACAAGATATCATATTGGTCCATTACACTGATGACATTATGTTGACTAGATCCAGTGAGTAAGATGTAGCAAACACACTGGACTTACTGGTGAGACATTTGTGTGCCGGAGGATGGGAAACAAATCTGACTAAAATTCAGGGACCTTCTACCTCAGTAAAATTTCTAGGGGTCCAGTGGTGTGTGGCCTGTTGAGATACGCCTTCTAAGGTGAAGAATAATTTGCTGCATTTGGTCCCTCCTATACCCAAGAAAGAGGCACAATGCCTAGTGGGCCTATTTGGGTTTTGGAGGCAACACATTCCTCATTTGGGTATGCCACTCCGGCCTATTTATCGAGTGACCCGAAAGACTGCCAGTTTTGAGTGGGACCCGAAAGGCTGCTGTGCAAGCTGCTCTGCCACTTGGGCCATATGACCCAGCATATCCAATGGTGCTTGAGATGTCAGTGGCAGATAAGGATGCTGTTTGGAGCCTCTGGCAGGCCCCCATGGGTGAATCACAGTGAAGGCCTCTAGGATTTTGGAGCAAAGCCCTGCCATCTTCTGCAGATAACTACTCTCCTTTTGAGAGACAGCTCTTGGCCTGTTACACTATGGGTCATCAAGTCCATGCAACCTGAACTGCCTACCATGAACTGGGTGCTTTCTGACCCAGCTAGCCATAAAGTAGTCATGCACAGCAGCATCCCATCATCAGATGTAAGTGGTATATACGTGATTGGGCTCAAGAGGATCCTGAAGGCACAAGTAAGTTACATGAGGAAGTGGCTCAAATGCCCACGGACTCCACTCCTGCCACCCTACCTTCTCTCCCCCAGCCTGCACTGATGGCCTCACGGGGAGTTCCCTATCATCAGCTGACAGAGGAAGAGAAGACTAGGGCCTGGTTCACAGATGGTTCTATATGATATGCAGGAACCACCCGAAAGTGGACAGCTGCAGCACTACAGCTGCTTTCTAGGACATCCCTGAAGGATAGTGGTGAAGGGAAATTTTTCCCGTGGGCAGAACTTCAAGCAGTGCACCTGGTTGTGCACTTTTTTTTTTTTTTGAGACGGAGTCTCGCTCTGTCGCCCAGGCTGGAGTGCAGCGGCGCAATCTCAGCTCACTGCAAGCTCCGCCTCCCGGGTTTACGCCATTCTCCTGCCTCAGCCTCCCGAGTAGCTGGGACTACAGGCGCCTGCCACCTTGCCCGGCTAGTTTTTTGTATTTTTTCACCATGTTAGCCAGGATGGTCTCAATCTCCTGACCTCGTGATCCACCCGTCTCGGCCTCCCAAAGTGTTGGGATTACAGGCTTGAGCCACCGCGCCCGGCCTGTGCACTTTCCATAGAAGGAGAAAAGAGAAGATGTGTGATCATATACTGATTCACGGGCTGCAGCCAACGGTTTGGCTGGATGGTCAGGGGCTTGGAAGAAGCATGATTGGTAAGTTGGTGACAAAGAAATCTGGGGAAGAGGGATGTGGATGGACCTGAGTAGTCAAAAACTCACAAAATGACCTCAGCAGCGGAGGGTTTTAACTCACAAAATTCACTGGTCTTACCATGTTCCCCATAGTACTGAAGCAACTGGATTGACAGAAGGGTGGAATGACCTTTTGAAGTCACTAAAGGTCACAATTACGAAGTCACAATTATGCCAACTAGTGACAATACTTTGCAGTAGGCCATGTATGCTCTGCATCAGCATCCAATATATGGTACTGTTTCTCCCACAGCCAGGATTCATGGGTCCAGGAATCAAGGGGTGGAAGTGCAAATGGCACCACTCACCATCACCCCTAGTGATCAACTAGCAAAATTTTGCTTCCTATTCCCGTGACATTACATTCTGCTGGCCTAGAAGTCTTAGTTCCAGAGGGAGGAATGCTGCCACCAGGAGACACGACGATTCCATTAAACTGGAAGTTAAGATTGCTACCTGGACACTTTGGGCTCCTCCTATCTTTAAGTCAATAGGCTAAGAAGGGAGGTACGGTGTTGGCTGGGATGACTGACCCAGACTATCACGATGAAATCAGTCTACTCCACAATGGAGGTAAGGAAGAGTATGCATGGAATACAGGAGATCCATTAGGGCATCTCTTAGTATTACCATGCCCTGTGATTAAGGTCAATGGGAAGCTACAACAGCCCAATCCAGGCAGGACTACAAATAGCCCAGACCCTTCAGGAATGGAGGTTTGGGTCACTCCATCAGGAAAAAAACCATGACCTGCTGAGGTGCTTGCTGAAGGCAAAGTGAATACAGAATGTGTAGGAGAAGAAGGCAGCCATCAATACCAACTACGACCCAGTGACCAGTTGCAGAAATGAGGACTATAATTGTCGTATTTCCTCCTTCTTTTATTAAAAACATGTTTGTGATGTATACACTTGTACTAATAAAACATCTGCATTTTATTTCCTTTATCATATGACATATAAGATTTATTGACTTCATATCAGCATTTAAGTATTGTTACCTTTATGTAATAGCACTCGGGTTGGGGATTAGTGTGTTTCGGTTGCATGAAGGACAGTTGTATTATGTTAGGCATAATTATTTTTGTCTTTATTTGAAGATTACGTATGATCTCAGGAGATGTGTATGGGTTCAAGTTGACAAGGGATGGACTTGTGATGGTTAACACTGTGTCAACTTGATTGGATTGAAGGATGCAACATATTGATCCTGGGTGTGTCTGTGAGGGTGTTGCCAAAAGAGATTAACATTTGAGTCACTGGGCTGGGAAAGGCAGACCCACCCTTCATCTGGGTGGGCACCATCTAGTCAGCTGCCAGTGAGGCCAGGATATGAAGCAGGCAGAAATCTGTGAAAAGACTAGACTGGCCTAGCCTACCAGCCTACATCTTTCTCCCATGCTGGATGCTTCCCGCCCTCGAATGTCGGACAAGTTCTTCAGCTTTGGGACTTGGACTGGCTTCCTTGCTCTTCAGCTTGCAGATGGCCTACTGTGGGACCTTGTGATCGTGAGTTAATACTACTTAATAAACTGTCCTTTTTATATATATCTATTCTATTAGTTCTGTCCCTCTAGAGAACCCTAATACAGGTGGCCATTCTTGTCTTGAACTCGCTAAGGCAGAAAACGCCATAGAGAATAGACATGACATGAGCAGACCCAGAGAGAGAAGCCAGGACACCATCGTGGTGGTTCTCAGTTCCTACACCAGCCCCTCATGAGGCACAGCCGGAAATCCTACCTCTGAGTTTGCAAAACACCCCATTTTCTTTTACCACCTTCTCCTTTGGCTGGGAGCCAGAGTACTCTGTCTTTAGCCCAAAGAGATACAGGGAGACCAGATAGGAAGAGGTGAGTGTAGAAAATGACTAAAGCTGTGAGAAAGAGGCAAGGAAGGTTCTAGAGGCCTTCTTGTACAGCCAGGCCTGGAGTCAGAAGGTGGAATGAAGAAGTGGCAGGTCACCTGCATGGTGAAGCGGGGAAGGAAAGCCTTACCCAGAGACACCAGGAGCCCACAGTTTTCCAGCATCACCTCCTGGTACAGGGTGCGCTGAGCTAGGTCCAGCTGCCCCCACTCCTCCTGGGTGAAAGTCACAGCCACATCATCAAAGGTCACAGACACCTGGAAAGTCAAACAGAATTAGCAGTATTGGCCTTTCAGCTGCTGAATGTGATCACAGATTGTGCTCCACTGGAAAAGTTGTACAGTGATGGAGGCCTGAATCACAGAGCACCTCCTGAGGGCCTAGAAAAGTTGTACAGTGATGGAGGCCTGAATCACAGAGCACCTCCTGAGAGCCTAGCTCTGTGCTGGGCTCGAGAGGAAAAGGAGATGCTTTGAACATAATAAGGAGAGAAGCCTCCTATTTAAGAGCCATTAGAGAATGACACAGGACAACGGAAACAACTTGTGGACTGTGAAATACAGAAACTAAGGGCTCTAAAATGACAAGGAAATAGGGAAATGGTAATAATAGCAACAAAGGTTACAACAGCAGGACCTGAGTCTCACTGGTCCAGTTAGGTGCATGTCCCATGTTGAAGGCTTCACATTCTGTGTTACAGTGACTAGAAGTCCCTAGCTCCAAACACTTGAAACCGACACTTGACAGCTGTTACTGCAAAGACGTAATTTCATTTCTCTGAGCCTTGATTTCTAGATCAATACAGTAATACTTCCTTCCCACCAGTAACAGTTGTTAATTTAAAGAGAAAGTATTCAATGCTCAGTGTGCTCTGGGATTTTACTAATCCTTCCACAGCCCCTGCAATCAACACCATCATCACCTTCACAGTCACTCCATGCTAAGGAAGTTCCATCAATTCACCTGGTCACATATCTCACTACCACAGACAGGATCTAAACATGGGGTGACTATGACTCACAGTCTAAGAGTGTAACTCCAACACTCTCCCAACATCAAAGCAAATCTAATGTGATGAAGTTATAAGCATTTCCACTTATTTCTGACATTAAGTCCATTTCAATTAGCCCTGAAAACGTATCTGTGGGCCGGGCATGGTGGCTCATGCCTGTAATCCCAGCACTTTGGAAGGTCGAGGTGGACGGATCACTTGAGGCCAGTTGAACATCAGCCTGGGCGATATGGTGAAACTCCGTCTCTACTAAAAATACAAAAATCAGCCAGGTGTCGTGCTGCATGCCTGCAACTACTTGGGCAGGAAAATTGCTTGAACCCGGGAGGCGGAGACCGCAGTGAGCTGAGATTGCGCCACTGCACTCCAGCCTGGGCGACAAAGCGAGATCCTGTCTCAAAACAAAACAAAAAAAGTATCTGTGAACACGGGCACAAAAAGCTCAGCATTCCTCACTGACCCCACGGAGCGGCACTGGAGGGGTTGCATCTACCCGGGGAATGACAGGCCCCAGAACAGCTTCCCATGCCCTCCGGGATCTCCCTGGGTCTCCCAGACCCCCCAAGGAAATTCCACAATGAACCAACCACCAGCCTCTTTCCTTGCTGCGTTCCGACAGAACTTGTCTCGGACGCCAGGATACTTTGGAGCCACGGAACACGAGCGGCCAAGGCTAATGCAGGCTGTAGCGATGAGAGTAACGGCATCTGACTGGCCACAATGTCTGTACTAGCTGCGGATGGGTAGAAAGCCCAGGAAAAGACCACACGCTCTTACCGTCCATGTCTCAGCGGCCGCAGAAAACCATGGCAACCTCACACACCCTCCTGAGCCTCCTTAAACATACACCTTGTCTCTGTCCACGCATTTGTCGGCCTGCTGCTGCCCTGCCCTGCCCTCCCCTTCCCCTCTCAGGCCCCCAATTCCATGCTGGAATGAGACCTGGTCCACCAGAGAGGATGCTTGCAGGCCAAGGATGATGGGAGTCCCCAGAGCAAGCATCATTCACTCAACCACCTACGGAGCTCTTTCCAGAAGGCCCAACACCCTTTACGGCCAGGTATAAATTAAGTGGCAAACCAGCTCCACACACCAAAGCGAACGACGACTGTGAAGACAAATACAGGGGATACCTGGGCTCCCACCCACTTCGGCAACCGCCTCCGCGCTGGCAAGGCGGCGGCAACTGCGAAGCCACCGTCCACTCACCTGGGCCCGGTCCGTCAGCACCGCTGCCGCCATCACGTCACCCCCCGGGCCGCAGAGCTGGGACAAAGGACCCCCGGGCGGCTTGACGGACCCCACCTGTGCCCGGCCCTGGCCGGTCGCCCGGGGCTTCCAGGCGCGCTCGGGGCCGCCGCCTCCTCGGTGGCAACCGCGTTCCAGACCCAGGGCGCCGCCCCTGGCGACCGCGAGGCTGAAGGGCGGCGGAGGAGAGACCGCGGCTTCACGACGACCCAGGAGCAAGCCCCTGGAGGCGGTCAGGCTCAGTCAGGCTCGTACAAAGGTGCGGCGGGGATTCCTATCCTCCTCCCCTGCTCGGTCCTGACTAGCGACCTGCAAAGCGGTCCCGGCTGGGGCCCTCAGTGGCTACAGACCCCTTCAGACAGAAGGGCAGAGGAAAATGGCGTCCCCGGCGAACAACCCGGAAGTCCCGCCCCCGCCGGCGTGGGCCGTCGGAATCGTCCCCGTCCTAGGCTGTCATTGGCCCAGCTCCCGCCGCACGCATAACGCACGGCCTTCTAGGTAGTGTAGTTTTCCTGATGTGCTCGCCAACGGGAGCTCAAGTTTTCCTTCCAGGGAAAGGCACTCCAGGACCCGAGGAGACGCTCCAGACCCACCTCTTTGCGGTGGGCACAACTCGAGGGGAAGTTGATGGAGGGAGGGAACCGAGGGGCAAGGGTTACACTCCATTCTTCTCTCGGGAAAATCGGAGCTCGGGAGACAGGGACTTTACTTCAGTTCAGGGCACAGGCAAAGGCGCAGAACTGGGTCCTCAGCTCGCCTGGCGACTGACCCCCTTTCAGATCCCTCCTCCCCAAATCATCATCTTGGAAAACACAAAAAAGTAGCCTAATGACTGAGTGGAAGCCCTGCCCTGACACGTTGTGTGCGCAAACTGCCCTCTTTTGGGCTTTCTTTGGATGAATGCAGCCTCCATGTGATGCAGGGAGTCATGTATTTGGCCCAGACCACACAAAACGTGGATTTACCCACTTCTGAGGTGGGGAGGCTGCAAGTGGAGGAGGCTCGGAGGCTCAGGATGGTTAGTTTGAAATGTCTACAGAACCACAAAGTATCTCTGTCACAGGCAGTTCAACTTATGACTGAATGTTGGAAGGTTTGAGCACGGATATATGAATTTAGGAGTTATCTTACACTGTTATTTCAAGTCATGATACTGAGTGAGACCATCAAGGCAATGCATGTAGATGGAGAAGAGAACACACAGAGCATGAGCCAGGGACCAAGTCTACATCATTAAATGGTTGATGACAGTATTACCAGAAAGGCCAGGCCTTGCATCTGGATCCTGCTGTTTGCTGCACAGAAGGCCAATCAGCGAGACAACGAGTATTGTCAGGGATGAAGACTTTATTCGGTGCTGCAGCTGAGGAAAATGGGAGATCAATCTCAAATCCCTTTCCTCAACTGACTAAAACTAGGGGTTTATACATCAGGGAAGAAGTGTAACTATGTGTGAGAAAACAGGAATTAGGAAGGGTTAAGGAAGAGGAATTGGTCAACAGGCAGCAGATGGTCAGTTAGGCAATCATGATGGGTAAGGGGTATAGCATCTCATTTTCCAGATGTGGTAATCCAGTAAGTTTCAGTTTTTTTTTTTTTTTTTTTTTTTTTTTTTATTGAGAGGGAGTCTTGCTCTGTCACCCAGGGCTGGAGTCTTCAGTGGCGCGGATGTCGGCTCACTGGGAGCTCCGCCACCCCCGGGTTCACGCCATTCTCTGCCTTCAGGCGCCCGAGTAGCTGGGACTACAGGCGCCCCGCCACCTCGGCCGGCTAATTTTCTTGTATTTTTTAGTAGAGGACGGGGTTTCACCGTGTTTAGCCAAGATGGTCTCGATCTCCTGACCTCGTGATCCGGCATCCTCGGCCTTCCAAAGTGCTGGGATTACAGCTTGAGCCACCGGCCCGGCCACAGTTTCAGTTTCTTTATACTTATTGGTGGAAGGCTGATGCTTGGTTTCCTGAGAAAGGAAATCAGATAAGACCAAAGATGTCTCGAGTTTTAGGAATGGGGGCTACAATGTCTGTTGTAATGTGTTTTTCAAAAGAAACCATAAATATCAATTCTATGAACACTGGGTCTGGTTCCTATTTATCAATTCCTTGATCATGGGAATCTGGACATGATCTTTCTGGCTGCTTTATGCTGAGGGAGGGGTATTGTGGGTGGCTGCATACCATAGATTACCACGGTGGCCACTAGATGAACTGGAGGTTAATCTAACACTATAGTTTTCTTTTCTTTTTTTTTTTTTTTTGAGGTGGAGTTTTGTTCTTTCACCCAGGCTGGAGTTCTGTGGCACGATCTCTGCTCACTGCACCTCTGCCTCCCAGGTTCAAGTGATCCTCCTGCCTCAGCTTCCCGAGTAGCTGGGATTATAGGTGAGCCCACCATGCGACGCCTGGCTAATTTTGTATTTTTAGTTAAGGATGGGGTTTAGGCACGGGCGCGGTGGTCAGGCCTGTATCCCAGGCACTTTTGGGGAGGGCCGAGATGGGCAGATCACGAGGTCAGGAGATCGAGACCATCCTGGCTAACACGGTGAAACCGTCTCTACTAAAAAATACAAAAAACTAGCGGGCGATGTGCGGGCGCCTGTAGTCCCAGGCTCTCGGAGGCTTGAGCAATGGGCGTTAAACCCGGAGGGCGCCACGCTTGCAGCGAGCTGGATCGGGCACTGGCCTTCTCCAGCCTGGCAGCAGGAGCGGAGACTCCGGTCTCAAAAAAAAGAAAAAAAAAAATGGGGTTTTCCCCACTGGTTGGCCAGGCTGTTCTCGAATCCCTGACCTCACATTTGATCCACCACCTCGGGCTCCAAAATGCTGGGGATTACAGGGTGTGAGGCCACGTGCGCCCTAGCGCGCCTCATACTTTTTTTGTGGAAACACAGTTTTCTCTAGTTCCTGACTTCCATTCAAAGGGCAAATCATAGGCAGGGCACAACCTACTTGCAAAACAAGCTTTTCAGTCCCACCATACTCACCAAAACAAATAGTACAGGAGGAATCACCGTTTATCTACAATTCCTCCCTTTAAATTGGCTTTGGCCGGAAACCCCTTCCACAAGACTTCCCTCAGACTCGACCATCAAAGACCTTCAAGCCCGCCAAAGATCTGTGCACCCTGGCAATACTGGAATTGAATTGGGTGAAAACCCTTTTCTTGAGGCCCCAAAACATCTTGAGGTTCCTCGGTCATCATGAATGACCCACTGTTATTTACCTACAGCCAGGACCCTGCAAGGAACTGTGTACCACCAACGGTATGGAGGGGCAGTCCTTCCAGATGCTCCAATCAGGGCTCATAAAGGTCAAGTCTTTTTTTTTTTTTTTACGAGACAGAGTCTCGATCTGTCACCCAGGCTGGAGTGCAGTGGCGCTATCTCAGTTCACTGCAAGCTCTGCCTCTTGGGTTCACGCCATTCTCCTGCCTCAGCCTCCCAAGTAGCTGGGACTACAGGCACCCACCACCATGCCCGGCTAATTTTTGTATTTTAAGTAGAGACGGGGTTTCACCATGTTAGCCAGGATGGTCTCAATCTTTTGACCTTGTGATCCACCCACCTCAGCCTCCGAAAGTGCTGACATTACAGGCATGAGCCACCACGCCTGGCCCATAAAATCAGTCTCAATTCCTCAAAGCAGTCTCTCACCGTCAAAAATATGCCACTCCTGTCAAAGCCTTGGGAAAATACCCAGTGCCTACAACTGTGTTATAAAATAACATGGATTTTAAAAAATAGAGATAGGGTCTTGCTCTTTTACCCAGAATGTAGCGGCATGATCATAGCTCACTACAGCCTCAAACTCCTGGGCTCAAGCAATCCTCCTGCCTCAGCCTCCCAAGTAGCTAGAAAACAGATTCTTGTTGAACATATGCTACACCTAGCTAGAAAACAGATTCTTAGTGAACATATGCAAACAACCACATTGCCATGAATTAAGAATATTCACAAATAGTTTCTGAATTCTGGAGAAATCAGGCAGAGAGAGAAATAGCCCTCAAATTTTGTTTACAAATGTATATTCAATTGTTAAAGGCTATAAATAGCTCAAAAGAAAAAAAAGTTTCATAGAGACAGAAAGATTTACAAAAATTTCTCCTGACTCAAAACAAAAAGAATCAGCAACATTTCAAACACACACAAAAAATAATAAAATAAATTCAGTCCTTGAAATAAATATCTGTGTTTGTGTGTGTGTGTGTGTGTGACCTCAAGTGATCCACCCACCTCAGCCTCCCAAAGTACTGGGATTGCAGGAGTGAGCCACTGCACCCAGCCAAAATAAGCCTTTTTTACTGTATTTATTTGAAGATTAAAGATGGTTTAAGGTGACAAGGGGTAGAGTATGATTGCCAACTATATTTGTAAACTTGTTTAGGTGGTACTACCCAGAAATTTTATTAAACACTGACCAGGATATTGTTATGAAGGTATTTTGTAGAAATGGTTAACATCTACAATCAGTATTATTTTGATAATGTAGGTGGTTCTTATCTAACCAGTTGAAAGGCCTTAAGAGAAAAACAGGGTTCTCTGGGGAAGAAATTCTGTCTCAAGACTGCACCTTCAGCTCCTGTCCACGTTTCAATTCTGCTGGCCTGATCTGTAGCCTACAGATTTGGGGCTGGCGTGCCCGGCAATCACATAAGCCCATTTCTTTTTCAATCTTTTTTTTTTTTTAATTTTATTGTAGGCCAGGTGGGTGGCTCACGCCTGCATTCCCAGCACTTTGGGAGGCCAAGGCAGGCAGATCACGAGGTCAGGAGTTCAAGACCAGCCTGGCCAACATAGTGAAACCCCGTCTTTGGCCGGGCGTGGTGGCTCAAGCCTGTAATCCCAGCACTTTGGGAGGCCGAGACGGGCGGATCACGAGGTCAGGAGATCGAGACCATCCTGGCTAACACGGTGAAACCCCGTCTCTACTAAAAAAAAAAAAATAGCTGGGCATGATGGTGGGTACCTGTAGTCCCAGCTACTCGGGAGGCAGAGGCAGGAGAATCGCTTGAACCCGGGAGGCGTAGGTTGCAGTGAGCCAAGATAACGCCGCTGCACCCCAGCCTGGGCAACAGAGTGAGATGCTGTCTTAAAAAAAAAAAAAAAAAAAAGGCATATTTCTGTCTATTCAGATCAAATCTTGTATGGATCCTTTGTTATATCATATTATCATATGGTGGGTTATATCATATGGTGGGTTACCTATGAAGGATGTAATATGCATATGGCTCCATTAATGCAATGTTAAATTCTATGATATTGGATATTGTCCTCTGCTTGTGTAAGATAATGTCTGTTCTCAAGAAATTTAAACTGAAATATTTAGGAAGAAAAAGTGTAAACCTCTTGAATGATTCAGAAAAATACAAATCAATGGATAGTGGGAATAGAAAAAATGATAAAGCAAATGTTATATTAGCAATTAATAAATTTGTGTGAAGGGTATACAGAGTTTCTTTGTGCCATTCTTACAGCTATTCTGTAATTCTGAAATTGTTTCTGAATACAAGTTTATTATGTATATATATGAAGAGGGAGGACTTCTCTTCACCTCCACTGCTATCATCATCCTAATATGACCTACAAAATCTCTCTTCTGAATTCCTGTAA